ACAAATGCAAAAAAGAAGTTGTTTGTTTCATTTTGCTTTTCTTAAAGAAATAATTTTTGGTGGAAGCCATCTGTAAGGGTGTTCATCCCAAAGGAGATTTGCGTGACAACATTTTCAGGAAGCTGGAAACTGAAATTCAAGTGAGCAAGCAGAGCCATGGAGAAGACAGACTCCCTCTGGTCAGCTAGAGTCTGATAAGCTGGAGTTATTTTCATGGCTTCTTCTCAGTGGTATTAGATCTGATGCCTTTCTCTACTGTGTGCCTGCCAGAAAATTTCATATGGGAAAATTAAAACACTAAATATGTTAATACAGTATAAAATAAAGTCTGATTCTCCCCAGTGAGCATTATTAGCATTTATGGATCTGCAAATAGTGTTTGTTTTTCTCCCACCATGTCCTAGTATCCCACTTGTTAAAGAACTGCTTTTGATTTGTAGCCCTAAATTTACAGTTTAGGAGCCCATATCTGAAATAACAAATTTGCCACTAACTACAAAACACTGAAAGAAAAACAGACCAGTGTGTAACTTGGACTCGGCAGCCACCAGCTGCACCTCATCTTGCTAGTCTTTAGTTGGCTTTTTTATATTGAAAAAAAAAAAAGGGCGGGGACTTCTAAGAGTCAAGTTACACAACTCTCATTTTATTTTTAAAGTGAGTGGATTCCTTGTTGCGTTGTTGAGGATGATGAATTGATACCACATGTTGCTTCCAGACAAAAAGGACTCTGTACTGCAGTGGAAGCACTTGCAGCTGGTGTCTGAGTTAGTGGACGGACTCCACAAGGTAAACATGGCTTGGAAGAGGCTGGAACAGGCACAGAGAGGGGGAATTTTCTCCATTTTAAAGGCTCAAGCATTTGCTGCTGTTGCCTGACCGGGTCTGAGTGTTGAAATAACATGCAGTCCTAGCCTCCCTGGGAGACTGGTTCAGTTCTTTGTATCAAATGAAGGATAGGGCACTTTGGAAATGCTTGAGTGTCCTCTCTGTCAGGTTACCCATTTGTGGTCTTACCAAAATATCGAGAGAGACACATGGTAGGACATGGTAGCTGATCTCTGGGGGGTTTTTTGGGTAGCAAAATGTGGCTGAATCCCTCGAGGAGTATTAACTGAATAAAATGCAGTGCAGTGGATCAACATTTATTAAAGCTGAGACTGTGGCCTTGAGTTTGGGGAAAGTGCTGTAATCCCTCATGTTGCTGCCCTGGCTACTGTGGGCACCCAACTCACCCTTTCTTCTGGTGCCATCATCCTAAACCAAGGTAGGACAGCAGCCCCACTTGTCTGTGGCACTGCACCACTCTCTGCTCGCACCAGTTCTGCTCTGCCTCACGTGTGTTCCTTCGCCCTGCAACTTCCTTGTCTCCATGGACAGTCCCTCTTCCCTGCAGGACCACTTTTGAAGGGGACTGGGACCCAGCTGTTTGGCCTCAGGGCAGTATATGATGCTCTTGATGTTATCTGCAGGAACCTCAGTCTTCTGGCTCTTAGCAGAGCGAATGGCATTCTTCAAGACCAGTATAAATAGTAACACTAATAAAGGGAGGAGCTCATCATATTTCTTTTCTGCTCTGCTTATGTACAGTCCATATGTTGTACCCATCGGTGGTATCTGAGCTGTCTGCAGCCTGGCTAGCATCTATCCCATATACATATGGTCTCCAGGACAGATGATGGAAGTTCCTTTATAGATCTTTTAAAGTTTCTCATTGCATTTTGACATGGAAAGATGTGTTATGTTTCCATCATCATGGCCTAATTCATCTCCCACATAAGTCAAAGACATATTCCTATTATTTTCATCAGCAGTGGCTTCAAATGATGAACTGTATTTTCTTTGCCTCCTCACCTCCTTTGTGGTTTGTTGCATGGTCATATACTAGTAGTGCACATGGTTGTGAGCAGTGATTGTCCCAAGATATTTTCCTATAATTTAAGCAGATAGGAATATTTTTTGACAGCTCAGAAAACAGGTAGAAAATACAGTTATTTCCATCCAGACTGCAGCCTGGTAGCACAGTGCAACAGCCTTTACTGATGTGAGTTGTCAATCCCTGTGGCTTCTGTAGCAAAACTTGCATGTGAACGGATAATAGGATCCAGCCTTAATTTGATTTGGCAGAGCATCCAACAGAAGGAAAAACCAAGAAACTCAGATACTGTTGCTGAAGAGGTTAGCGGGGGAGGCTACGTGAAAGAAGTGGGTTCTAAGGCAGTGTTTGAGCAGAGGGTGGATATGGGGTACACAAAAATAAATTGGCCCATAATTATGCTTAAGAAAACAATCTTCCTACAGAAGAAAAGCAAAGAAAAACAGAAGCAGGAGTGTAAGTGGCATAGTGCTTAATGTAAAGGAAAACAAACTGCTTGGATTTTTTATAACCACCAATTTTCAATGCAAAAGGATTATTACATTCTTTTATTACTTGTGTAAAACCAACACTGAGCAAAAAGATATAATAAGAAGAAAATTACACATGTGCACATACATATCCACACATGCAGGAGTCCTCATCCTGAGGTGCCTCAGTCTCACAATTTTACAGTTTAGGATTTTTCATGGTTTTAGGCCAAATAGTTTCATACTATGGATACCACCATCAGAAATAAGCTCTTTTATGAGAGTACTACAGGCTGAAAACTGTTAGCTGCTGGCATTTTGGCTGAATGTTTTTATATCTGAAGCTGTGTGTGGCGCACTGTGTACACCACCTTGGGTGTTTCTTTTCTGTGTTTTCTAAGATTTATTTTTCATTAGCAAGAATCACGATGCTGTGTATTCTTATACCCAGCATTTTTAGGTGGGGAACAGCATGGTTTGTATTGCTCTTATATGGCTCAGTGTGGTGGTCTAGCTCTGATTGTCCTCATCCTGCTGGCAGCTCTTTCTGAGAAGAGATCCACATGCAGATGTTTTCACATATGTTTGTCCATGAAAGTTACGGGGAATGAATGTGAGAGCTACCTGCATTGATGCAGTCCAAGCTGGAATATCAACAAAGGTTATTTAAAAAAAAGAAACAAAACCAGTTCTTCAGCCAGTTTTACAGGGAGAAACCTGAGGAAGTAAGCAATGATGCCTAGTTATTAGAAGTTAGACTGTTGCCAGACTCAAAATATAGTTAAAATGTCATCAGTTAAACAATAAAAAGCTCTTTCCTTCTTTAGACTGAAGAGCTATTATGGTGTGACTCAATCCACCATATTCTGATGGGATGATAGTACCGCAGAAATTGTCAAGTTTATAGCTGAGGCGCTGACCCAAACTTCTCTTGAGCATGTCAGCAGAGTCTGACCTGCTGCTTCAAGTAAATTGTTTAAAACATAACAGTTGCTGTTTTGAACCATGGTCCATATGATTTCTCTTTTCATTAAGTGATAATCACAACCACGTCTGCTGTCTGCATGTGAGAAGAACTTCAGGAGTGTTTTGCATTTCACACTCTGACAAAAACCACAACACTCGACAGTGGGGGAAAAAAAGGCATTTTGTACTGAAAAGAATTATTTTAAAAAATGCTAGACTGTATTTCTGTGTACATCAAATATGTCTCCAGTTTACTTATGTCAAGCATCCATTTATCCTAAGGATGCAAATGTTGAAGCACTTGTGAATGATTTGTTGATTGATTCATTCTTTGCCCATTTAAATCTGGAATTTCTTCAGAGTTTTGTAAATGAAGGACACTTTTCCTGGATAGTTTGATGATGCTATGGTCCTGTTTGTGTTTTTGAAGAATGTTGATAGGAAAAATGTGATTTTATCCTTCTCGTAGGTATAGCTGGTAATTGCCCAAATTTAACAAAAAAGAGCTCTGCAACTCTTTAAACTTGGAGGAATAGCACAAGGCATTTTTCAAAGGAATGTGGGATAGCTCCAAAAATCTTTTTACTTCCTCATTGGAAAAAAAGTTTGTTTACCAAAACTGAAAGCATTCACACTAACAAATACTATTTGCTTTCCCTTTCTTTGATCCATATTTTAAGCACAAGATCAGCAGGATGCGTGAAGTGGGATTTTCAGTTATTTTGGTTTAAATCTGGTGCCATTTCACTAGGGGTACTGTGGACTGGTTTTCTCACCTTTCTCATTCTGAGGTGATTATAATTGGTTTGAGGCAATGTGGTTTTTGAATGGTAGATGTTACTGACTAGTGCAAGCAGGTAGAATGCAAGAGCAGACTGTATGCAGGCTCCTCGGAGAGTACTGTATTTTGTAGCATCCCGTACAGCGTGGAATATATGACTGTGTACAGCAGCTTTATACAACTCTGTATCCAGCAGCTTACAGGAACAGGGATATCGTTGCATACTGTGTCACATCATGTTTTGAAGACTGTGAGGATACTATAGTGAGGGGACAGCTGGCCAGCTACTGAAGTACGGGCATAATTCTGGTGCCTCTAATCAAGAGACAAAGTATATCTTAGTCATCACAGAGTGCCTGTGGGAGAGGAGCAACAGCACTTGCAGTTTACTCAAGAATTATTATAACAAGTATACAGCACATGTGCCTATGAAGAATTAAAAAGACATTTGCAGAGGCTGTGATGAGTGTGACTACCCCTCCAGCCAGATTTTTCCTGTGCCTTTTCAGTTTTTATTTCAAGGAACTTATGGCAAGATTACTGATAGCATAGAAGTTTGTCCTGAGTCCAAAGCAAGGGAGAATCATCTAGCTCCGTGCTGGCAGGAATAGAGCTGTGTCACACTCTTTTCCTTAGGATGCAGTTTTTAGGGATGTAGAGGTGGGCACCAGGAATGCACAGCTAGTTCAGGCTCTGGGAGTGCTTTACGGCAGCATGCTGGCATGCCACAGTCACACTCCAGTCCTCCTGTATGCAGCACTCCAGAAGTCCATGGAGATATCCAGAAGGGTCCAATGCTTTCATTCCTGTTGCTTTTTTCAGGGGATGTTGGTTTAATGATTGAGATTTGAGTCATAAAAGAAGTGGGGTGCTGGTCTTGACGTTTTGTTTTGTTCCTTTCCTGCAGAATTCGATCCGGCACAACTTGTCACTCCACAGCCGATTCGTGAGGGTGCAGAATGAAGGCACTGGGAAAAGCTCTTGGTGGATGATCAATCCAGATGGTGGAAAAGGCGGCAAGGCACCCCGGAGACGTGCTGTGTCCATGGACAACAGCAACAAGTACACCAAGAGCAGAGGGCGGGCGGCTAAGAAAAAGGCAGCCCTGCAGACCGCCCAGGAAACAAGTGAGGACAGCCCTTCTCAGCTCTCCAAGTGGCCAGGGAGTCCCACATCCCGCAGCAGTGACGAGCTGGATGCATGGACAGATTTTCGCTCCCGTACAAATTCAAATGCCAGTACGATCAGTGGCCGCTTGTCACCAATTTTGGCAAGCACTGAACTAGATGATGTTCAAGATGACGATGCTCCACTTTCTCCCATGCTGTACAGTAGTCCATCGAGCTTGTCCCCATCGGTAAACAAACCATGTACTGTGGAGTTGCCTAGGTTGACTGATATGGCTGGGACAATGAACTTGAATGATGGACTGACAGATAACCTCATGGATGATCTCTTGGACAATATAACACTCCCTCCCTCCCAGCAGTCACCCACAGGAGGGATAATGCAGAGAAGCTCCAGTTTTCCTTATGGTTCCAAAGGTTCAGGGCTGGGTTCCCCGTCAAGTAGTTTCAACAACGCTGTGTTCGGGCCGTCGTCTCTGAATTCCCTCCGCCAGTCGCCCATGCAGACAATTCAGGAGAACAAGCAGGCCACCTTCTCTTCCATTTCTCATTACAACAACCAGACGCTGCAGGATCTTCTTGCCTCTGATGCACTTAGTCACAGCGATGTCATGATGACACAGTCTGACCCACTCATGTCACAAGCCAGCACAGCTGTGTCTGCCCAGAATTCCCGCAGAAATATAATGCTCCGCAACGACCCTATGATGTCGTTTGCTGCACAGTCCAGCCAGGGTGGTCTGGTCAATCAGAACCTGTCACATCACCAGCACCAGTCCCATAACTCCTCTCTTAGTGGCAGCCGTGCCTTGTCCAATTCCATCAGTAACATAGGCTTAAGTGACTCCAACAGCTTGGGATCCACCAAACATCAGCAGTCGCCTGTCAATCAGTCTATGCAAACACTTTCTGACCCGCTGTCAGGCTCCTCTTTGTACTCTTCTAGTGTGAACCTCCCGGTCATGGGACATGAGAAATTCCCAAGTGACTTGGACCTGGATATTTTCAATGGGAGCCTGGAGTGTGACATGGAGTCCATTATCCGCAGTGAACTCATGGATGCCGATGGGCTGGATTTTAACTTTGATTCCCTCATCTCAGCTCAGAATGTTGTCAGTCTGAATGTGGGGAACTTCACTGGTGCTAAACAGGCTTCATCACAGAGTTGGGTGCCAGGCTGAAGGATCTTTGAGAGCAGGGAAAATGGGCAAACAGGTCAGTGCCCCATAGATGTGGTAAAATAATTGGTTCCTTAGTTTTATTGCAGTTTGCACAAAACCCTTAATAGTTAGTGCACACTAATAATATTAATTTGGCCTGTGATGGCTTGCTCTGTGTTTGTATGCTACAGGCACGACCAAGAAACGTGGAGATGTGGAGGGAAACGAGGCTAAGCTATAAAAGCTGTTCAACTGCAACACTGTCAGCACGCATCTGATGCTTAGCGTCCTTCTTAATTTAGGCATGAGAAATGTTAATGACAAATCAGACAAACCAAGGTGGAATATTTGTGGGTTTTAGGAATCACAGAGCTCTAACTCATCTTCTTTGAAGTCGCAACAGATGGATTCTTTCTTGCAGCCAGTGCCAGATGTAGCCAAGCTGTGTTACACAGGGATGGGGCGAGGGGCTCTGCAGTCACTGCAGCAGTGTTGCTGCAGGGGAGGAAGATGAGTGTCTTTGCAAGATCGGTGTACTCACTGCAGGTTGGGTGTGTGGGACAGATCTAGACAGAATCAGAGTTGTACTGCTGCTGTGGTAGAGCAACGCTAGCAAAGTTGTTTGTTTGTTTGTTTGTTTAAATTGTACTTCTTGGGGGGGAAAAAAGGTAACAAATGGAGAAATTATATATTGGAATAGCAAAGGTGAGATCCTGGTCTCAGGAATGTCCTAGATTTAATGTTTTAAGTAAGCAAAAATTGTTGCACTTCTTCCCCACTGAGGGGGGTAGATGTAATTTTCTTTTGGACTCCAGCAAGAGAATATCTGTAGGTTTGGGTTCTGGCATAGATGCTTTTTAAATATTAGCCTCCTCAGATTAATTTTTTTTCCAGATTGATCCATTCTTTTCCATTGCTTATTTTCCACAGCTGGGGGCATTTGAACTTGTAAACATTGTTTCTGTCATCCTTCTATGATTCTACAGGCTCCTGCCCATACCTCTGCCTGCTCACATGTACATACTTCCTGACTCATAGGACAGGTGCCACACAAAGTGCCCTTTCTCCTTTGTTTATTTATTAGTATAAGGGAGTAGATTTCAAAATACAGTAGGATAAAAGGTTAGCTATAAATTATTGAAAGTGTTCTATTAACTTCAAAATAGTATGTAGGGTATCTCAGTGGTGAAGTAATACAAGGCATTCATTCAGTTTGCAGCTTACTTCCAGCTTTCTTATTTTCCAGATGAAGGATGGAAAGAAGGAGTCGGTGTCATTTGACTTTACAATGCATAATTTGCCCCTTTCATCTTTAATTGTGTTTTCGGGCACTGTTTCACAGTTAGATGTTCAAGGGGAAGCTTTGTGGTAGGTGAGCAGCAGTGGTGAACCTCCTGAATGCTTTCCTGTTTCCTGTGTGTACGGAGGACCTCAGGAGACATGTGCTGTGATCTGCTGTCTGTGAGGGAGAACGAGACTGCCCAGGCATTCTCCTCTCAGTCGATCTGCAAAGTTACTGTGCTCTGATGGAGTGGTTGGTTTGCACAGTCCTTTCTGTTTCAGTAGAAGGATTTCCTCTGGTTCTTGCACATCTCACTCAAAGCGAGAGTGTTGCAGTGCACGGCCAGGTGACGGGCTGCGGAGATGGACTGTAGAGGACACCATGTCCTGCTGACCCTGTGTGAGATGGCAACTTGGCAAGTCAAGGGCCACAGCTGAATTTTGGGTTTTCTTTAGTTCCAGTGATGGAGAATTCAGGAAAGGAAAGGGAGAAAAAAGATAATTGTCTTGAGAACCAGGATGCAAAAATTTGCAGAAAGTCATGCTTTCTGACCAGTTCTCTCTTCCTCTATTTGGATTTAAAAACCTTCTTTGCATGATGTAAAAAAAAAGGCTCTAGGAACCTTATTGCTGTGAAACATCCAGCAGTACAATCTGTCAAATGGGGCCTGAAAAATAGATGTTATTGACAGTTTTGCTTGACACAGGCAAATAGGGCAGCCTCCTGCTTCCATAGCTTCATTTGCTATGTGTAGGTAGAAGCCGCCGCAGGGGGACTTGCCTAGGCAGCACAGAGACACACCAGCCCACCTCTTCACTGATGCTCACTGCTGCCTCTTCACCCCGGCCTCTGGCAGTCACAGAAAGCATAGCTGCCGTGATCCTTTTCAGGCTGCTCCCTCCGAATAAAGGAACTGACACATCTGTGTGAGCGGAGTCTCATTGCAGAGGACAGATTTATTAACGAGACAGCTCTCCTCAGTGGATTACTGTCCAGTCATCTGTGGAAGCCTTTCTCCCTCTCTCTGACAAGTGGACCGGCTGCTGTGGGGTGCCTCTGGTATCAGGTGCAAGCGCAGATGATTTCTGCTGAGGTGGTTCATCATGCACCCTTCCTCATCTGTTAAGCAGCGCTGTTTGAGAGTATGCCTCCCTACAAGCATCTCATATTTTGATAGGGACTCCTTGCATGACATCAGATGCAATCGTTCTGAACTGCTCTTCTCCGTTACTTTCTCTGCTGTAGCAGTAGGAACCCCTGAATTAAAATCTTCTCTCAGCAATGTTCACGACCCCAGTAATGAATCTTACAGGCTCCGAAGACTGGGGAATGCTTTCAGCAAAACAGCCTGGTGATTGCTCATGCTAAATCCGTTTCAAAAGGGCAACCAGGTGTGTTTTGCAGGCAGGCAGAAGCAGTTACAATGGATTATTGGCATACCTGGGAATAGTGAGTGTTGTGTTTTCTATGAAAAATAAGAGAAACGTTGGAGTAAGTTTTCAGGAAGAAAAGAAAGAAGGTAAATACATAGGTATTTAATTTATAGATACTGTAGGTATAGGGGGAGGTTTACTTTGGAAGAAAATCAACTACAATTTCTTCATTGGGGAATTAAAAAACCCCTGCAGGAGATGCCACCATTGCAAGTTAGTGGCTTTGCACATTTGCTGTACGCAAGCCCATGCATGGTCCCTGGAGAGAACCCCACCCAATCCCACCACGCTGGCCTGTGCCCGTGAGGCTGGCCATGCCCAGCCTTTCAGAGGGCTCTCATTGAGGCATATAAATGAATTTGGGTTTGTTTTGATTTTTTTCTCTTACAAGAAGAAAAGGAAAAAATCAGTATGTTTTTCTCTTGCTTTATGCACTCAGCCATAATTTTCTCCTCTTACACTGCCTGGGGCCTCTGTTCCTCTATCTCTACCTGCTTCTCAAGAGCACTGGATAATGCCCTCTGCCCACTCAGATAATCATCACCTAGGTATTTCAGCTTGTTTATCAATAAATAAAGACATCACTATTCCCTCACCTGTCTCTAGAATACCTTTTATTTTGAAATTATTGGGTCTTCTCCTAGTCTGGGGTTCTCACAACTCTGCACTTTGCTCTGGGGTCCTTCTCAGCTGACAAGTCCAAAAGGACTTGGTTTTTGCCAAAGAGTAGTCCCAAACAGAACATCAGGGGAGACTATTCAGGACATTTGCTACTGCCTGGAAGGACAGGAGCTGGTGAACAGTTATCACTTGGGCAAACATTTTCTCCAGCATCAAAACCCATCCAAGAGGTTGTTTACCTGGATTGTTTCAGTGATCCAGTTTACAATGGCACCGTGCAGGGTGCCATCGATGCTGGCAGGGTTGGGCACGGGTGGAGAATGGCTTGGCACAAGCAGGTCAGGAACTTCTTGAGCTGGTGTCACCATCTGAAAAACTCATCTAAGCTGCATCTCCTGAGAGAGATTTCAGTGTGCCATTTAGCAGGATGCCTCTGGGCTCTGTAACAGAGCTGTGCTGGAGTCACGTTGACTTGTTTGAAAATTACATGTAGAATACTTGACAGATCAGTTAAAGTCACTCATTTTCCCCTAGTATCATATAGGTGCCACATCATCTTACTGCAGCAGTAGAGTGCTGCAAATAGCAACATCATGTAACGTTCACACAATTTGATGATTAACATCTCTGATTAAAAAAAATCTTAGGAAACCTAGCAAAAAGCCTGTTGGTATTTCATTAGTCTATATCAGCTTGAACTACTTGCCAGTTTGTTAATTGGTGTTCAACCTGTTTCTGCATACAATTCATACCCAAGATGAATAGGTCTGAGGATGACTTAGTATTTACAACACCATCTTAAAAGTGAAAATAGTTAGTCAAAGATCTCCATTTTGATGGAGTTTTGAATCAGAGTTCTGTACAAAATGCCACAAAAAAGATGATTTTTGTTTTTTACCAGAAGTCCTATGCCCATGAAAGCTTTCATGCAGAAATCAGAATTGGTGGATGACTTGCCCGAGGACACTGACTGCCTCAGGACCATACTTGCCACTCTTACTATCAAAAATGAGATCTTTAGGGGTAGGGCTGGCAGGTTTCTTACACAGACCCAAGTTGGGGCTGGCTGCCTGAAAAATATCTAAAGGAAATTCAAGAACAGCAAATTCTTCTGCTCCATTTCTAATGGGTTAGTGGTTAAAGTGGTGGTTCTTGTAACATTTAAGTATTGTTTCTACCAGTGCAAGTTTTGAAAGGTGGTTTTGTGAGTAGCTGAACACCACACATGCCAAGTTTGGTCTTTGAACAAAAATATCTATGTAGAAAATGTGTTTTGTGAGGAACAGGGATCCCTTTAACTCCAAGGAGGGCCTGCCCTGAGCAGGCTCCCCGGTCACCAAGCACACATCAGTGGCAGAGGACCAAACTCCATGCTTGTGGCTGCTGGGGAAGAGGAGAAGGGAAAGCTGGGCAAACCCCACTGGGGCTGCCCCCCATGCAGTCCCGCTGAAGCCCATCAAAGCCCCTTGCACACAGAGGCCAGTCCTGTGCTTGCAGGGATGATGTGGCTTTTGCTGTGTGAAGGCAGCAGGAGCTGACACAATGAATTGCTCACTCGTTCTGGGAGTAGAGCTTTTTGGGTTTGGTACTTTTTTAGTCTGGGTTTATGTTTGGGGGTTTTATTAACCCAGGGCAAAGGTCTGTAAAAGCCAGAATTGCCTCCACAGGTTTGTGTTGTGATTGTACAGCAGCTGAAGCCAGGACAGTGGGCTGATCCTG